TCGAGGGCACTTCTTCCCCTCGTGCTGGGTTGGGGCAGGCTGCACCAGGAGGTGCTGATGTTGGGGGGCCACAGGATGGGGCACGGACACATCAGGGAGGAAGCATGGGGCAGGTTGGGCAAGGCAGGGGGGGCAATAGGAGGGGGCCTGGCCACACTGTGCTGCGGCGCAGGGCCCATGCACTCCGCAATGGTGCCCAGGAGGGCGTACATGCGGTCACAGTGCTCAATGTACTGGCCCCATACCCTCTCCCACCACTCCTCATCAGCACGTGTTTTGTTCATGAGTGAGTGCTCCATGTGATCGATGGTGCAGACATGGCAGTGGAGCAGGTAGTGGCAGTCCCGGGTGCGCTGTGATGAGCCCTGGCTCCTTGGTGCTGGCAGGATGGGGCTGGAAGGTCCCTCGCTGGCAGAGGGTTCCTCTGCAGAGGAAGCAGATGAGAGCAAGATCATCAGTGACCGCTGCCCCATGGTGTTCCGGGCGCCCTGTGCCCTCTTCATGTCACCGCACATGCCACAACACCTGGGGACAGGTAAGACTGGCATGGGGGGATTGCCCTAGGGGCAGCAGGGGGCCTGAGGTGGGCTGGGGGATCCTGGGAGGGCCACATGTGGTGGTGGGGGGCCTGTTGTGCCTTCCTCTGGGGCAGCTACTGTGTCCCATAGATGGCCATGGATTAGTGCTGTGTGTAGTCCCCTTGGGCTGCGTGGGGTCTGCCCTGCGCCCTTGTGGCTGGGCTGCTCCTGGCTGGACCTCTCCCCTGAGCTGGGTGTGCATGACCCCTGGGGTCCCAGGCATGTGCTGGGGCTGGCAGCTGTGTTCGTGTGTCACGTGGTCCAGCTGCACAAGGTTGTACATGCTGTGTGCCGCTGTACAGCATCCGGCCAGGCTGTGCCATGTGCTGTGCCCTCTCCCCCACTCCATGGCCCCCCTACCCCCTGCACACTTGTGAGTGGCAGCTGCGACACTCACCAGATGATCCCTCACCAATCTCCGAGGAGGCCTGGGACACATGGTGGCTGTTGTGCTGGGCTGGTGGGCTCTGGCTGCCGTCCTCCTCCTCCTCCTCGGTGGACCGGTTGCCCTCCTCCTCCTCCTCTGCATCTGTTGGCTGGACCACTGAGGTGGCCAGGGCTGAGTCCACCATGGCCTCCAGGGTCTCGGCCCACTTGTTGGCCAGGATACTGTGCAGGTGGTGGTAGTGGAGGCAAGCAGTGGCTCCATTGCCCCCACTCTCGCTGGCCCGGATGAGGCTGAGCCACAGGTCTTTCACCTTGGCCCGGACCTGTTCCAGGGTCTGGGCTGGGTGTCCCTGTGCAGCCAGAGCCTGGGCCATGTGAGCAAATATGTCCGCAATTTGCCTCCTGGATTTGGGATTACAGAGGGCCTCCTCATTCCAGAGGTTCAGGAGGGCCTGGACCTCGGGGTTGCCCCAGCATGGAGCCCACCGCTTGGTGCCCTGTGGGCCTGCTGGGTGCTCAGCTGGGTGGCTCCTGGGTGTGGCCTGAGGGACCTGGCTATTGCTCAGCAGCAGCCATCACTCCCTCTGGCAGCTCCAAAGGCTACACATGGCTCACAGCTTCGCTGGCTGCCTGTGCCTTTAAGGGGAGGCCGGCTACAGGGAACCAGTGAGTGGTGATTGGGCATACGGAGCATCGGAGAGGCCACTTGTGTTTTTTCCCGGAGGCCAGTTCTTTCGCAAGAAATCCCTGCCACGCGTCCACACTGCCCTCTTGCGCACGAGCACCTGCACAAGAGAGCTTACACCTGATAGAAAACAGTGTAGCTCTTGCGCAAGGAGCTGTCTCTTATCACACCATACTGTAAATTTCCTTGCGCAAGAGCAGGTGGGAAGTGTAGACGCGCTGCAGATTCTTGTGCAGGAACGGCCATACTTGCGCAATAACCCGCCAGTGTAGACATAGCCTGAGTGACTGACCAGACCCGTGGGAGGGGCCTGATGATGTCATAGGGCAGGTCATCCACAGGGCCCCTGAGCTCAGCCCATGCTGGAGGCAGCCAGACAGCTGGGAGGGAGCCAGAGCAGGGCAGGACTAGGGGACAGGAAAAGGGCAAGGCAGAGACAGAGCAGAGCATCCATGAATGTCAGTGAGAGGCAGAAGCATTTCCCTCCATAACACTTTTGGAAAAGGGGCAATCACTTTGCTGTGGACTGCCAGGCTCAGCTGAATAGTGTTTGGTGCTAATAATGTCAGGGTGCTGGGTTCAAGCCCCTTGCTTAGCAGTGGGGCCTTTTTGCCTTTAGCTGTCTGCTCTGGGCAGGGAGGCCAGAACAAAAACTCGGCTGAGCAGCTTGCAAGGAGTAGGCAGGAGTCCTGGTTTGGAGGAGGGACCAGCAGACACCGATGCTGTGCAGCCCCAGCCTGCTGGGAGGGGGCTCTAGCTACATCCTTCTGGAGGCAAAAAGGGCATTGGACCCTGGGTCTACCCTGCCCAGCTGCCTTTTCTAGTGGCAGATGAAGATGCTCATGACTTGACCCCATTGTCACTAGTCCGCTGACTCATAATGACCAGAATTCTTGCTGCCTGTGGTCTCCAGCTGAGTCAAGTGAGTGAGTTTCTCTGTCCTCCACTCCTGCCTGACCCCAGATAAGGTCACATGAGACTATCCAAATGTACCCCCTTCAGCACATCACTGTGAGCCCCTATCTAGGCTCAGCACTGGGTGCGTGTTAAGCCAAGGAAGCAGGGACTCTGAGGAAGAGGTGGGAGGGAGGCTAATCCCATGAAAATGATTTGTCAGTGCTAAGATGATGAAACACAGGAGTAGTTCTGAGTTAAGAAGAGATGTCTGTCACCTCTTAGTGCATACCAAAGCCCGGGCCTGAACTAAGGACTTTTAGAGCTTCAGTCTAACACTCTCCCAACTGAGCAACTTTGGCTGCTGTAAGAAACCTGTCTGGCCTGTAATTCTCTGTCTGGGATGTTTGCACAAGCTGGACATTGTCATGCCCTGCCCAGGAAGGCAAGACTGGCCTTCCCACAGCGCCCCTCCCCCACAGCCCAGAGCCAAGTTTCCTTCTAAGCCAGGCCTGGGCAATATAGGCCTGTGGGCTGAATGCAGCCCACCAAGTCACTGGACCTTGCCTACAGTGAGAAGCCTCAGCCAGATTCCCTGCTACCCACGCACCCCTGAGAAAAGGGGTTACTGCTGTTTCACAGTGGTAGGGGAGGGGCTTCATGCACTATCCGTGCTCCTAAGTCTCCCAGTGAGAGCCTGCCTCTGGCACCCCAGCCCTTCCCTTCCTCCACCCACTGGCACTCCCCACATGAGAGGAAGTGGGGAGTTTTGAGAGTTCAAAGGGGGGTGTTGCACACAGGGGGGCACTCGGTGCCTGGAAGTTATTGGTTGAATGTGACAAAGGTGGGGAGTTTGTTGTTTCAGAGAACAGCCCTGAATTGGAGCCCATGGTGTCTGGGACCCTGGTGACCCCGACCTCGCTTAGAGGTCATGGCTGGTTCTGGCCAGATGACAGACAAGGGGCTGCAGAGAGGGACCACAGCAACCATCCCAGCTGAACCCAGTGAGGGGAGAACCAGCAAGGGGAGAACATTGAACGGGGAGAAGACAATGGACTGGGGAAGGGCTGTTGCTGGGGATATTGGAGGATCTGCTGGGAGACTGGGGGCTGTTTTGGGGGGGACTGAGAGCAGAGCAGGCGGGTCTGAGGACCCAGGTCTACTGGTCTGAGAGATCCTTTGCTGTGTTCAAAGTCAATAGACCCTCCTGTTTTGTGCTGGTCTACAAAACAGGGTGGCGCTATTCCTTCTGGCTACGTCTACATTGGCAAGATTTTGCGCAAATATTTTTAACGCAAGAGTTTTTCTGTTAAAGTATTTGCGCAAGAGAGAGTCTTCACTGGCATGTGCTTTTGCGCAAAAGCATCCGTGCCAGTGTAAACACTCTCTTGTGCAAGAAGGCTCCGATGGCCATTGTAACCATAGGGCTTTCTTGCGCAAGAAATTCATGTTGCCTGTTTACACTGGCCTCTTGCACAAGAGGGCTTATTCCTGAGCGGGAGCATCATAGTTCTTGCGCAAGCAGCACTGATTTCTTACATTAGACTGTCAGTGTTCTTGCACAAGAACTCGCAGCCAGTGTAGACAGATGCCAAGTTTTTGCGCAAAATCTTGCCAATGTAGACCTAGCCTCTGCGAATGGAGACCCCAGGAGTTCAGAGGTTCATAGGGGGGGACCCCTCTAAGGGGCTCACAGCCGAGGCAGGCAGCTGAAGGCCCTGAGAGATGTTGTCCCAGAGGTGAAGGGGCATACCCCCCTGGTGAGAGTCGGCCTCCACTGGAGTACATTCCCTGAGAAAGGGCTGTCTCACTGCCATTGGAGTAGAGTGGGCTCCCTGAGA